TAAGTGCAGTTATATTGTTTGCTCCAGCAAAGTCCTGTCCTGCTTATAGAAATTACACCATTCCTTTCTGCATTCAGAATTGTTTATGTTCAGTGGCAACATGGCTGTTTTTAAGGTGTCTGGGATATTTCTGTCTACAATACAGTGCAGTCTCTGGGTACACAGTGTCACATATGCCTGTCTCCATCTACATCACTATTTTATTTTTATTAATTTTACAAATGGCAATCTATTTACATAGGTCTACTCCCCTGAAGGTAGGGCCCAAAGTAAGAACCAGGTCAGTATCTGATTTTGAGTGCTGATGTACTGATTGCTTGCAGTGAACATCTTTATGAAGTCCATGGTTAGCCAAACACTTCTCAGATTATTCTGCACACTGCATGATTTGCTGTACTTTGTTTTCCAGAATAGTGTGCAGCCCAGCAGGCCTGGGAGGGGGACTAACAGAAAACAAAGCTGTACTGGTATCTCTTCAGCACATGGCTTAAAAATATGGATGTACAAAATCAGAGTTGGGCAATTGAAATGATTGCAATTGGTTTCATTAAATATGACTCTAGTAGCTGGCTTAACTTTAAGTTGATTTTTGTTATCTTGGCCATGTGCTCAGTATTTACATTTTTTTAATATCATTGTGAATCCTTGGGAATGAGATCTCACGATCAGACCTGTAAGATCAGAGTCTTTTAGTCATCATGTTGGAATTGTGAATTGTAGTCCCTAACACAGCTACTGAGTAGCAGGTTTCATCTAGACAATCTGTGAGGTCAAATCCTTAAAACCATAGGCTGGCATAATTTGGTTGAATGTAAAAGATGTGTACTATAGGCTCACAATTCCTTTTTTGAGGAAACCAGCATTTAGACTTAAGTTAAAGGAAGGCACAGTTTTGTAGGAATTGGGATTATAAACAATCCACTGGATGCTTTGTGCTTACAATTTTTAAATTTTTCCTCCATCATCTTTGTTCCGAATGAAAATTTGAAGACAGGTTGTTGCATAATGCATCTGGCTTTCAGAGCAGAAACTGCATATCTGAAATAATTTTGAATTCTCTGCCTGCAATCATACATCCTTCTCCTGCAGTTACATTTTCAAAGACTGTATTTTGGGAAAGGCCTTTGTTGGTTTAGAGTATGTATATTATCAGTCACCGATCTGTAGTTGATGTCTGGGAAAAGACAAGTTTGATTATGAAGGATTGTATGTGTAAGGTTTTGTTGAATTGTATCAAAGTAGAACTTCCATGCTTAAGAAAAGCAAGAAAGTTGTTTAAGAACTGTGATTCAAAACTGCCCTTCAGAGGAACAGAATTAAGCATGCTTTTATAAAGAAAATAGCTATCAAATTGTCTATAATGATTATGAAATTGAGATTAAATATATGTCCCCTTTATTGTTCCTTTGGCTAGTTAAGATTTTGCTTTGTTCTAAGGCCATTGCTATTTTGATAAACTAGATTTTATTTGTTTCTCCAGAATTTAAAATACTGTATCACTACTGACATTTGAGCAGTGTAGAGAATTTAACTAGTAAATAATTTTTACTCGTATTGCTGAGGATATCCTTTCTCGTGTTATTTGAGATTTTAATGAAAATGTTTATTTTGAAAATTATGCTCATTGTAGGATTTCTGAAACTTACATGACTGAGGCACCCTAAATTGCAAAAACTACCAGCTAAATCCTGTGTTTTGCTGAGAACTTCAGGATTTAAGAAGCTGTGTGAAGTTGGTTATAAACTTTGTTGTAATATCAAGTAAATATGGGAGTATTTTATATATAGTAGATAATCCTGTCAGCGTGCATATGGCAGGTCTAATTCTGTGCTGGTTGTGGGGGATACTGCCATGCCTGATGGGTGAAGTCCTCTGTTGAAAGGATCACTATCAATTTTTTAATGCAAATACATTTTGATTATTTGTTCTCTTTTTTCATTTAATGAGGTTGCTTATTTCACTCCAAGTTGCAGCCTTAACACTGGTGTACAAACCTTCTTTTACCCTATTTTAACATTTCCATCAGAGAATGGAGAGATTAATTGTATCTGTTAGATCTGTTTCCATTGCTGCTTCTCACTGTATTTTCACTTGTTGACTTAACTGCAGTGTGTATTTAAATATGAACAAGCATACTCAAAAGTGTCTGGGGTAGTGTTTTGTCAAAACCAGCCTCCCATAATGCTTTCTTTCAGTGTTTGTGCTTTGCATGATATTTCTATTCATTATATTCTATTCATTATATGAATATGTATGCATACAATATCCATAGCCTTAAGTACTTTCTCCAATTTGAACTTGTTCAGCCTTGATATTCTTGCTTTTGGAACTAATCAGTGATACTGTCTTGAGATGTCTTTAAGATCTTTTCACACTCAGATGATGCTGTATAATCTCAAAATTCTGTTGGTCACAGTGTAGTTACATCTTAAAGGACTGCTTACACTGTTTAGAATTCAGGATGTTGGGTAGACTACTGAAATATGTCAGTACAAAATCAAACTTAGAAATAATGGGCCCTGTCTATGTATGCTGAATTATATCTAGTGAGGCTCTGGTAAGTTTTCCTTCTTGCTTTTATTCTAATAAATTGGTTCAATGTATGTTTATTTTTAATACTTATTAAAAATACTTCCATAAAATATCCAATAGCTAAAGCTGCTATGAAATAAACTTACAAAACTTTTCTAATAGCAAGTGTTTAAGATATATGTTTTATAGAAATATATATACTATTTGAATAATGTGTTGGAAGGAGTGAAAAATGAGGGAAAGGGTGGCATGTCGTGGCATCTACAGCAAACTGTCTTGTTTCCCTCCCTGTCTGAACCCACTCTGCCTCAGCTTTATCCACCACAATCTCCTTCAGCTCTGATATCTCAAGTTATCAGGACCATTCACTTTTTCTGCTTTTGGTAAGCCAAACTCTTTGGCTTTTGGTTCAGTGTCAAAAGTAGTGGTAGTTTTATCTTCCACATCCCTGTCCACAAGAAGCTCAGTGTGTGTCCCCCATCAGAGACTGTTAGCAGGTTTGGTGATTGCCATGGAGAACAACTGGGAGAATTTGAAAAGATCAGCCTGGCTGAAGATGTGCAATATGGCTGTTTGTTGGATCTCAGGAATCTGGAGTTTTTGAGCTTTCTGTGCTTCCAGGCACAGGCCCCTTGGAAAACACTGCTCTGGACCTGAAACCTTGGAGAAGGCTTGTAAATATGAATGATGAGTTAGAAAACACAAATGTGTAGGGGGTTAGATGTGTGTATTTTCACTGGGTGATGGGTTTTAAATTTGATGTTTTTGTAGTATAGTAGTGGATATGGGACAAGATGGGGAATTTTGAGTGGTGTCTTTTTCTTTATTCATCTTCTTCTTTTACTTCTTCAACCTTAACTGGCTCAAAAGGAAAACAAATAAGACTGATAATAAACCACTAATAAGTGGTACAAAGCCCAGCATACACCCCCACAGCTGTTTTGCATTTTTTTTTCTCACTGTCCCAGCACGAGCATTCTGAGTGCTTGGTCCTAGAAAGAAAAGGTTTTCAGAGCTAAAAATACAGACTGTGTCCAGCTCCAATACAGAAAACTGTCTGTACAACACAGAGTATTTTAGTGAAGAGAGGGAGCCAAAATACAATGTGTATCCAGACAGGAGGAATGCAGAAAGATAACTGGATGCACTTCATGCAGTTTAATTGTGCAGTAATATAACAATAATATAAAAGGTGGAATGATTTCAGGAAAGGGTTGTGAAAAATACAGATTTAATGATTACCAGGTACATGTTTCTGGCAGGATGTTTTTCTGTTGCAAGGCAGCTTTTCAGTGAGAAATTAGTCACTCTCCTCTCTACCCTGCTGAGCAAGTGGGCTTTCCTTCCCTGTTAATTCCTAGAATTTCTGTAGCTTGTTATCCTTCTGTTATCAGGATGCCATTAACTATCTGATGATTTCTCTTGCTCTTTCAGTTAGAAAGCAGCTGTTGTACTCAGAATGACCAATTAGGTTTTTTGGAACAGAATGCTCAAGAGCTTAGTATATGCCAAAATGTTTTCTGTGTGTGAAATATAAGCTCATTCCAGAGCAAGTCCAGTATTGGGAATAAGGCATTTGTGTTTTCCACCTGTGCCATTATGCACACAGTTAATTTGGGGTTATATGGATAGTCCCATAAGGCTGGCACATACTTCAGATAGTAGATAAATGTCTCAAATCAGCAAATACCTTCCTGTCGTGTCAAGGATTTTCTAGTACGTTGTTCATGAGCTTGGTTCTCCTGAGTTATCTTAGGAATGGAAGAATCAGAAAAGGGAAAGAAATGTTGACAGCTACTGTCAATGTATGTTGTTAGGGCTGAAGATTTCAGACGTGGCTCTTGTAATTTAATGTGATCTAACTCGTACTTACTGTCAGAATTCCTCAAAGTTAATTTCCTTACTGATGTGAGTAGAACACACTTGCAAGGTCTGCTTCTTGGAAATTCTATATTTGAAGGAGACATAAGGGGGGTTTTTTGATGGTTCTTTATCGTGGAGAAGATTCACAGCTGTCCCTTGCATTTTAGTGCAGTACAGAGCAGAAAAAAGGGAAAGAGATTCCACGGCAGTTTTGCACAGAGGATCTGCTTGCATATGACAGAAAATGTGCTGGTGATCAGGATGCTTACGTTATTTCCTATAACAGTATATACACATTTTATGCTTTATGTGTGCTATAATACTCTGAATGTTAATACTTTATTGAATAAATACTCCAACAATAGGTTTGTGAGTTTTATAAAATGCACCTAAATTTTCTTACATGATGTTCATCATAAATTTCATGTGTCACCATAGAGAGGAAATTGTGTAACAATATTGCTCTTTGCTTTATCAGTTCTATTAACTTTCTATTTGATATTATTGTTTTGAAACAGAAAACAATTGGGTTTTTTTGTTTGTACAATACTCAGCAGTGTATTATTTTTTAATAATTAAAATTTGATGGATTTTTTTTCTTACAGAACTTTTGACGTTGGGCTGCATCGCTTTCTGGTCAGGTAAGCTAATACTTCAAATTGCACTCCCAAATTGCTGTGGTTTAACTTCAGCTGGCAACCAGGTCCCATGCACACTCACTGTTGATTTTTTTTAGTTTGAAAAACTCTTAACTATTTGTCTTGGCTATCTACCCAATGTCACTAATTAATTACTTAGGAAAACATGACTCAGGAAATTTCAGTGGCTGTGAAAATCTTAATTTTTCTTGTAATGAAGAAAAGCTTTAAAAAACTATTTTCCATTGGTAACTCTAGTACCTTCATACCTTATAAAAAGGGCTTGAATTTTATAGAAAATTTGGAATGTGGAGGGGAGTCTTACATTTTCAACAGAAAAAACAATCTATTCAGTGCATGCAAGGGACTGTTCTGAAGATGAATAAGGAAAGGGGAATCATTGTTTGAATGCTTTGGTTGATGATATTTAGAGGGATGAAGCAATTAAAGCAGGGCACTTCAGCAAGAAAAGGGAAGTTAATGCATTTGAATTCTACACTGAGAAACTGCTTTTGCTGTTAAGAGTTTTTTGTGTGGGCAAAGTCACGTATGTTCACCAAGAATGTGTTTGCCTTCATTTTTGATAAAATGCCTATTACCATCTACCAATTTTTACAAAGAAGTGTAGTGTGAAATATGATTTTTCTGTGGTCCTTGGGCACTTAGAGAATTAATTTTATCAGTTATTTCATCCACTGAAATGTTAATCAGTGAAGAACTCCACCTTGGAAGAATGAATCCAGTATGTATGAGCCCGAGTATGCTGTCCCACCATAAGGATCAGGTGGTGTCAGCCTTTCCTTGAGTTGGCTTTGCTGGTGAACTCTTTACTTGAGGCTGCTTTGTCATATTTCCTGGATAAAGACACTCTTAAGCCTTCACACAAGTCCCTGTGGCATTCATGCTGTGTTTTTTTGGCACCAGGTATGAGATCATACAAGCCTGGGTCACCAGGAAAATTTGGTTTGTTTTAAGGTGCCACAGACCAACCCACTTCTCATAACCTTTGAGCTGTAGACTTTGTAAAGTTAGGACTATTTTGTGTATTTCTTTCTGTGTAACATTACAGTGTTTAACAGATAACTCTAAAACACGGGTACATTCAGCAATATTGACACTATGCCTTTAACGAATGGAGCTCTTAGACAACTGAATATATAAGTTCTGGTATCAGTTCTACAAAATTAGTTACATCCATATTTTGATGAGCAGATTTTGTTTCTAAATAATTGTATAAGGAATTGAAATCATCATATTGAGACATGGTTTTAAAGATGCTACTTTATAAAGAAATGCAGTGTCCAAGAAGGCCTTCTGGGATTGTGTACAACTACTTAACCAAGAGTAGAATCATGGAACACATTAAAATACTAAGTTTGAGCCCCTGGTAATGCTTTTGCCATGAAATATTTTCATGCTTCATACCACGAGTGTAATAAGATAATATTCTCTCATACAGCATTGCTTTACATCCCAAGGAGATGCAGTATTTAACTTGTATGTTTGTGTGATCCTGGACTGCAAATAGTCATGGAATTGCATGAGTTGAATGTCATCTTTGACTCATGTATGATTTTTTCAAAGCCAGCTGTGTCTTGTGCAGTTCCTCTTCTAACCTTAGCTTAGACATTTTCAGCCTGTTATCTACCTCTGTTAACTACATCATCTGTTTTCTCTGCAACTGTGCTGCTAAGGAGGAAGTAATTTTCTCTTCTGTTGTACCAGAATGAGTTTTGCTTGGTGTTTCCTTAACTAAAAAAAAAAAATCCTATTTGTGGGTGACTTTGGAGTAGGAAACAGACTTGGTATTAATATCTTCTGTTGGTCTGCCTTGTGAATTTTAGAAAGTTACTGCCTTTTTTTTTCCCTAGACAGTCTCTGCTCCCCAGAATTTGCAGTTCATCTCCTGTGTTCATAAAGTATCTGTCATACATGCTATATTCTCCTCTTCACAGTTTTCATTTCCATGTGAAATAAAACAGTAGGAAAGAAATAATCTCACCTAGACAGATGTGAGTTGCAGGAAGCACTGAAATTCTATGAGGTGGGATTTGAAATGCAAAATAAATTAATATTGCTTTAAGTATAGTGATTTGATCCTGCCATGGAACAAGGAACTCAGTATGACACTTGCAAATACAAAGTGCAGGGCCAACAAAACTAAAAATAGTCTCTTCTAAAAGGACAATCTGCCTAATTAAATGCTGATTGAAGGAAGTAGGACTGTATGTACTGTTAGCCTGGTGTACACAGTCAGTGACTTCCCTAAGTGAAGCATGACACAAAGTATTGCAGAGAAGTACAACTACATAGGGCTTTTTCAGTAAAAAAAAAATTAGAAAATAATTTCTGTCCACCCATTTATGTCTTGAACTGTGCTTCTGATACCATCCAAGATAGTTTGGACAAGTCTGAGAATCTCATATTTTCAAATGTACCATGAGTAGGTGAGTATTATACTGTAGTGGCTATTAATGTGTTGTTTACTGACTTGGACTGAACTGGATTCTGGGACTAGATTTTTAATTACTGCTTGCAAGCTGAAGTCAAGTGGTGTTATGGAACTTATATTTGTGAAAGTAAAGTGCAATTGAGTATGTGGGGATTCTGGTTTTGAACATTTGTTAGCTATACCATTATATTTGAAGTAGGGATCCTGGAAACTCACTGGGGAAGGATTAGTACTTTTGTGATGAAAACTGGGGTTTGGTAGTAGTAATGGAAAATATATTACTATATTTGGATGGTTTTTTCCCCCAGTGTTTTCACACAATGGTATGAAATAACTTATTTGATACTACTTTAGGATTACCTAAATTATTAATTATGTATTTAAATCACAAGATTACTATACAAATATAATAATGTTTTTGCAATGTGGCCCTTTTTTTCCTAAATCAGAGCATTCTCAGAATGGAGGAATAGGTGTATTTTCAGAGTTAAAAATATATAGAAATAGCCTTTAGCATACTAATTTGGAAGAAAAAGAGTAAGAGAGGCTGCCTGTTGCTGTTTGCTCACTGAAGTTATTTTATCTAGGCATTTCATACAGTGCTGACAACAGGGCATTGGATGAATAAAATTATGAACTTGTGGGAATATTTACAGTTCTGTTGCCAAACAGTGCTTCCTTTAGGACAGCACTGATGAGGACAGTGGGGAAGAATGACAGTTCCTGCAGGCATGATTCTTTTGAAAAATCTCTACGCTTTCAGCTCTGCTGTGCCTTTGAAAAAGTGTGAATCATACTCATTTCAGTACAGATCTGGCTTTGAAGAGAGCTGCAGGACCACGCACCCCCAGCGTCTCCTTAAAGGCATCCATCTGTTAGCAGTGCTCTCAGCTCACCCCATGGTCTGCAATTACTTTAGCTTGTTTAGAGTTGCAGGTTATTTAGGTTAGCATAGTCCTGGGTGCAAAGGTACTCTGAATGCAAAACTTGGAAATCACATGCTTTTTTAGTTTTCTCAGGTAAAGCATGGCATAATTTACCTCTAGGATCAAAATTTACTGTGTAGTGGCCTCTACTGATTTTTAGTTAGGAAAAGAGCACCTCTGTGTAAGGGCAGAATGATCTCATGGCGAAAGAGGGGATTATGGTTCTAACTGAGGTATGATTATGAAAGAAGAATATCATCATCTGGCTCAACTCCTGTATTAGTTTGCTGTGGAATCCCTTGGGATCCCACATCTTCAAGCTGTCCCAAGCCAAAGAAATCTATGCCCCTGCTTAAAAACAATCCCAAGCAGGTATCTGTATCACTGTATTGAAAAAAATCCCCACAAAAACAACTGACCAGAAAACCCTAGCACATGTCAGAATTTCCACAATAACAACCCCCAAACTTTTGAGCTTCTCCTTTCTCTTTAATGCACACAGATCCTGGACAGTCAACATAGGCTGCAGCAGTTCTCTAACTCCATTGCTAGGTAAGCTCAGTGGTGATTCTTGGCTCCAACAGCTGGACACAGATTCTGTGTGAGGTTCAGCGTAACACGTGGCCCTCTCTTGGGTACCAAATACCACTGCTAATGCTACTCTGTCTCTCCTGCTCTTTTGAATGCAGCTGCCCATAAAATAGCATTGATGATCTAATATGTTGTAGCTGGGCTAGAGAGCACAGCATTAATGAGATTCCACTTTTCTCCAGCAGCATTGATGAAGGTATGTGGTTAGACCCCCCTGCCTTTGAAAGTGCTAGCTAACCCAAGAGTGCATACTTTGTTTTGTCAAGAAATGTGACTTTTTGGTTCACTCTGTCTCCTGCATACCTAGTGAGCCTTAAAGCATACACAGCAGTCATAGAATCGTACAATAATTTTTGTTCTAAGGGGCCATTAAGGATTGCTTAGCCCATTCAACCCTGGAATGAGCAGGTACAGCTTCAACTAGGTCAGGTTCCTCAGAGCCCTGTCCAACTTGGCCTCAAATATTTCCAGGAATGAAGCATCTACTGCCTCTCTGGGCAACTTGTTCCAGTGTTTCATCACCCTTGTTTGTAATAAAAAAATTTCTTGCTTCCGTCTGTTTGAATCTACCCTCTTTTAGCTTGAAGCCATTATGCCTTGTCCAATTGCAGCAGGCACTATTTAACAATCTGTCCCCATCTTTCTTATAAGCCCTTTTTTAATCTTGAAGGTTGCAGTAAGATCTCTCTAGAGCCTTCACAAAGATGAACAGTCCCAGCTCTCACAACAGTGTGTGCCCAAGCTGTCTTCTGAAGCAAACCACATGTCTGGGAAATGTGTTCCCAGGAACAAAATCTGTGTGTGGTTCTGTCGGTCCTTCACACCAATAGTTCATACCAAGGCCACTTGTTTCTGATAGGTGGTGTGGATACAAGTACACCATCTTTGTCTTCCTGTGCCCTGTGCAGTCACCTCGTAGTTCCTTAGTAGATTTTACCTTTGGGGTTTCTCTTTTTAGGCTGTCATTTTAGTCAGTTTGTAACCTCATCCCTTTTGCTATAAAATATGGCCACAGTGCTTCACTCGTGTTCCTT